AAGAAGTGGCAGTATGGTCGAAGCCGTCGAGAAACGTCGGTATTATCATAATAATGGCTGAAGCTATCATCTTTTCCGCATCTGCTCTCAAACTTCCCTGCAGCTAACGCAACTCCTCGTTTCTCGAGGCTTCTTTCTTTCCTTTCCCAGGAAGCGGAGCCTAATAGCGGTCGCGTTTTGTACATTTACAAATTTAAAATGATAATTCTGCCATGGGTGTGGCAAGCCTTCAAGATCATTTGCGCCCTTTCACCGTCGGCTGTTCTCTTATTTCCCATCCTCAGGCTGCGCTCAAGACCGTAGATTGATTATGCGGTTCGCAAAAAATTCCACGACGGAATACTCTCACTGAACATTTGTCAATTGTCGTTCGCAAGCGGGTGTCTCGCCCCATCTTGATTACGATCAACGCGTTACTGCCCCACCATGCGAATCACGTAGTTTTTAATCTCTCGTGTAAATGGAGAGAAAATGAAGAAAATGAAGTGAAACTAAAACATTTATCGCATGTGCGCAATCACAGTGAAAAAAAAAAGAAAATGCTTAGTCTACTAATTTGAAATATTATTGGGAAAAATTTTTTAAATTGTAATATAATTTCATATTTACCAACAACTCCCAATCGGTGTCATTTATGAGGACCAAAATTCCCGGTCGTCTGCAAGTATGAAATAGTATATGAAATAGACATGTATATGTTTAGAGATTTATATATCTGAAATTTAACATGCGAATTTTATTCACTGAAAGAATTGAGGGCTTTTAACTCTATTAATCTGAATTGTGCTGCCCTCTCATATAACATCGTGGAACTCGCAAGCCGCCATGTTGATTGTACATACTACTAGAGTTGGCAAGTCGAATTGATATAATAATACAGTGATACAACGTGCGTGTTACTAAAGAGGCACATTGTACACACACGTGCCTGAGTATCAAATCATACATTGTAAACTATTACTTGGGATATTCTTGACGTTAACATTTTATGACGATTTAATAACTTACACGGTATCGTCCTGCATGAAAAGTTCCGGTCGTTCTTTCAAGAGGTTATCTTTCATCCAGAAGAGTAACTTTTGTATAGTCCCTACAAACATTTCATCTGACGTCAAGATTTTACACTAACAAAAATTTTATAGAACTTACAATCGTTTCCAGGTAAGTTCACCGAGTGTTTTTTCTTCTTGTCGAAGAGCAATTCCGCCCCGCCTCTGAAATTATTCACCGAATAATTTGATCTACATATATCATTCTCGTCATTAGGTTAGGTTAGATATCGATTTGATATTACCCAAGTTCAATGGTCACTGAAATTCCGATACTTTCGATAGACATGTTTTTTTTGTCAATTTTTTCTAAATTGCGTTTCTAAAGTCTTTTCTAAATACTGCCAATTATTGCTACCTAATTGCAGACGAAATATCGTTCACTGCGCATGGAAACAACATAAACGACATTACAGTCCGATTCCATGTTCCCATGTTCAATTGATCAGTGGTGTATACACGTTGCAAAACACGAATTTCCAAATTCAAGATTTACATTAAAAAAAAAAGAAATTATATGTTGTATTATTTCTCTCTCTTAAATTTTTTACAATTTTACAATTTGCAGAAATTTTGCATAATTAATTGACGATCTTATATTGTTACATAAAATTCGAAAGAAATAATTATTCCATCGATTATTTATCACAAACACATTGACATTAGTAATAATAAATATCAGTATTAAAAAAAAAACATTTATATTAAACACAACGTAAAGCTTAAATCCAACACAAACTACACCCCTGTCTATTCGCGGGTCATTAATCTTGATAATTATGAGTTTAATTGCGAAGCAATTGTCGCGTATGATTAAAACATCAGTCGATATTAAAATAAAGTTCGTTAATTAAAAACAATATTTAAGAATGTAATTATTGTCAGACAGATTAAAAGAAATTACATCTGACGAAAATGTAGAATGTCGAAGATGAACTGAAGTGCAGGTGCGATCAGCGACAGCTGTAATGGCGGTCGTCGGAAAAGTGAAATCGCAGGCATTAAATGTTCAAAGAACGAAATAGCACGCGTTCGTTGCGGATTTGCGTTATTTCGAACTTTTTGTTATCGCGCGATACTATATAATTGCGATACGTTTACCCTGTTCAGTATCAACTTCCACAATGTCGGGAAAAAATGAACATACTTCGGAAAAGGCCGAGTCAAAAATGCATGCGAAAAATCACAATAAAGAACAATTGAAAAGTGAAACAAGCATATTGAACAATCAAACGGAGCAACTGATGTTAGAAGATGAAGAAATGCCAACGTATATTAGCGTATCTACACCGTCAAAACGTGAAGATTCAGATATCAATAATACAAAAGAGCCGGACAGAATCCCGATAGAGGAAGACCACAGTCGAAGTCCTTATCCTACCGATGATCAAGGAGGAGGTAGTATCTATGTGTTGTCTTCTGGTGAAGACAGTAATCACCCATACAATGATGAAGAGGAAGATGAATATGTAGATAGTGAAGGTATGTAAATGACGTATAAGTCTTATTTGATATAACAAGATCTCATTCCTACATTGCAATGTAATGTATTTACACAGATATGGAGGAAATGGATCTTGAAAATGAGCATGATAATACAATGTTGGATGATGAAGAAGATGAAGACGAAGACGATGACGATGAAGAGAATCCTTTGAGATTGCATAATGATGACGACGAAGATATGGACACAGAATATGAAGCAGAATGTTTTGATAGAGTGTCTGATGACTTTGTCTTGAATAATAGATTAAAGCAGCATCACAAAGAAAGAAGTTTATCGTTACAAGATCTAAGTACTTCGAAAAACAATATTCATTCATCATATAATAAAAAAAGGCATAGTTTAAATATTTTTAGGCATAATTATTTAGGTATACAACAAAGTCCAATACTGTATCCTGTTGCACAAAAAAGGCAAATGATGAAATATCAACACGTAGAAAGTAAAGTGAAGCAATACATAAGAGACATTAAAGAACAAAATAGAAAATCAATGCAAAAGCGTGTAAAAGAGCAAGAATTCATAATGAATAAAAATCATGAAAAAAGTGAAAGTAAGAAATATATTCATATACAATTGAATGTACATCTAATTATAATTTGGATTATAATTTTTTTTATATATATTTGAAAAAGTATAGTTCATCAATTTTAAACAAGATATAGCATTCTTCCATATCAATGAATAACAAAAATTTTAAAGCAAATAAGTTATCTATATAAGTAATAATTTTTACTTTTTATTTATAGACAATGACCCTGAACAATTGAAAATGAAGGTTACAAATAAAACTATAAAAGATTATGCTGAAAAGGCGATACAAGATTTACAACGTGATGAAACTGAAAATGATAATCTAATATACAATACAGCACAAATTTTAGAGAATGGAGAAAATAACAAAAGCTTTAATAGAGTCATTGGAAATCAATATAAATACATTCGGAAGGATTCTGAATACAATGATATATCAAATGAGAAACGTGTGCAAAATTCTGATGATAAACTAGAAAAACGAAATGGTTCTGTAGATGTTAATACTCATCATATTGAATATCAAAATGCTTTAGAGAGAAACATAAGATTTGGTATAAATCAGTCTTCTCTAGTTAATGGTCATCAGGCAACGCCCACATTTATTAATTTACGTACATTGAGCTATGAAGAGTATATGCGTGGTGCCTCTAATACCGAACAAAGAGAAGAATTACCAGAACAAAGACAAGAAAAACCAAATGAATCTGAAATATATAATGAAGCAGAAATGATCAGTGCACAAGAGATTGATAACAGCAATACTAGTTACCCTTTGAAAATTGAAAGCGTTGAAAGTATCAGCGCAATGCAAGATGAACCAGAAAATTTAAATTTTGGAAAACTCAATGCAGTTGATAAAATGAATGTCGACAAAAATGAAATAACTGAATTGAAAAGTCAGCTTGATCAAAAGGATGCAGAATTTCTTAATTTACAAGATGCCTATCAAAAAGTATTAGCAGAAAATATGAAAATGAAACAAGAATTAGATGCTTTAAAACAATCTTTAGCAAAGTATAAGGATCAGAATAAAACGTGTGAAACGAAAATTGCATCAGTACAAACTGAAGCAGTTGCAGAACCTGTTTCTAATCAAAATACTGTAAGTTCAGGAGAAACAAATAATAAAATATCCACTAGTAGTGTTGCATCTACGATAAGTTCTATTGATCAATGGGCAGATAGTGCTGGTAGTCCAGCTATATCCATTAAACTTCCTGATCTGACCCCAATTCTTAACTCTGATGATAGTATTGTCCTCACTGATAAAGCTACTCCAAGGAAGATAGCACATCCATTTTCTCGAACATTTATTACTTCATCTCGAATTTTGCAAACACTTTCGAATATACAGGGAAAGACAAAAACTGAAAGTCCTTTAGTAAGAAACACCAAAAAACAATTAAATGAAAATTCTACAGATCAATCATCAACTGTAGAATGTAATTCTCCAATTCATGCATCAGGTTCCAAAAAAAGAAAAGCAACAGAAATGCTTGGTACTTCTACATTTACTCAACCTTTTAAGATACCTCATACAACTATAGAATCTGGGAGAAAAGATACACCTGATGTAGAATTTAAATATCCTGAGGATACCCATATAGTATCAAACTCTGGACAAAAAAAAAAGGGATCAGTCAATAAAGACATCAGTTCAATTGATCAGTCAATCAATGCTTTCACGCCTGTAGAAACTAAGGTAGAACAGAGAGACGATCAGGAAGACAGTGTAAAATGTTTCATATATAGGGAAGATGAAAATAGTAAAAATAGAAGTTTTTTAATTCAGGCAGAAGAACCTATAAAAGATGGATTAGACACTGAAAAGAATCGAATTCAAGAATGTGGTCCATATTTGTTAGGTAATCTTGAAGTAAGAATGTCTGAAATAAATGGAACAATTAGTGTTTGGGGTAAAGAAATAGATCATGAATCTACAAGTGACAATGAGGATGATCTGGAAGTCTGTGAAAAATCACCTGAACAAAAAGTGTGTCATTATTGGCAAAATGCATCACAAACGAGATTTAACGGAAGTCCACTTGTGTGTTCGACTAATAAAAAGCAGAAAATTCCAAGTGACAAATTCAATAGGTCCAATATTTCTCAATGTTGTCATTCTTTATCATTAAATTCAACAAAAATATCTTGCTCTGAAGATGATATAAATGACAAAAGACATATAAATAATTCTTTCAACCCAAGTGTTCCTTCCTGTGAGAACTGTAATTCTTCAAAACATCACAAAGAATGGACATGCAGAAATGCGCCAAGTTCGCAAGAAAAATTACATTCCTGTTGTATGCATCATATTGAAGTCATAGATAAAGAATGTAGTTGTAGTTCATATCATGAGAAACAAAAACATGATGTTAGCTTTAAGCATTGTAAAGATAAGTTTCACAGCAAAGAAGTTCGAAGGAATTCATGCAAAAATACATTTACATTAGATTTGAAAAATTCTTTACATGAAAACAGTATGAACAACACTGCCGAACTGAATAATGTAACTAGTAAATATCATGCGTGTCGATGTTCATTTCAAAATGTAGCGGATAATAGACCACATTCAAGATGTTGCAGCCCTATTAGAGATATTTCATGTACTTGTAAATCATCCTTGGACAATACAAATAATCATTCGGACGCAATACTAAGTAATCATGAACATTCTGACAAACACACATGTAATCACAGTTTTTCAAATAATGGTGAAGAAGAACCTCTAATTCCAATTAAACGATCTAGTGAAACGCTTGAAGTAAGATATTAAAAGCATAATTATAAATTTAACAAATATGTCAAAAATGTTACTTTTACTCTTTTTTATATGTAGACAAGACAACGAAGACTAAGTGGTAAAAGAGTAAGAGGAATTCTTATGGATCTTCTAAAAGGATGTGGAGATTGCCGTAATAATAGTTCTACTGGTTTAAGTAAAGCTGAATACCAGAAAGAAACACCTTATATGATAAATGGTCCTCCACGAATTAAGGTTTCATCTCCTATACCCAAGCCTACATGTTCTACTTCTACACAATGCAACAAGTAACTATTGTACATTGTTGTAAAGATATAATAGATGAAATATATAAGACAATATGTATGTTTGCTTACAGATGTTGTCATACATATGTACACCGAATTGAGTCTCAACTTGAAGAATTTCGAATGGAAATGGAAAGAGTAAGATCGCGATCTGACGCAATATTAAATATGCTCAATATACTTCACTCCGTGGATGCGAATTAATGAAACTTATACAATCCTAAATAAGTGCTTTTTCCCTTGTACAGATCATTATCCTAATTTCTTTAAGTCGAGTTTTGCACTATTGTCATCAAAAATTCTTATTTACTTCTTCTATTTCATTGCATATAAGAAATACGTGAACATTTTATTAAGATAAAATACATAAATAAAAATATATGCTACATTGTACCGAATACGTTATTTATACTGTAATAATTCAATTTTTGCGATTGGTCAATATAACAACAAATGAATTTCGTGAGTTTTATTATTATATACAACTATTTGTTGATAAATTTAATTAATCAACAGATAGATGAATATATTTACGTACATAAACTAGAAAATTTTTGTTACAGTCTACGGAAGATATTTCACATGTAATTTAAACAATTCAATAAGATGATATTTGACTCGTTAAAATTTCAGTTCTATTAATAATTGCAGTCGCAGGAATCGAAACCCACCCCAGCCTCTCCCGGTAAAACACCAGGTGGCATCTCTCCTTGTCCCTTGAAAATGTTGCTGTAAGATGTTTTCAAATAATTTACATGACCTTGCAATGATCTTATCCGACCTTGAGCCTGTTCAAACGCCTCATTTAAGTTGTTTATTTGACCTTGCATTTTCTGTCTAATCTATAAAATAAAATAATAGTTACGGCGTAGCTAATGTCTAGGTAGAAAGAAATAGACTTTTTGATCGATAAATTACTTCGTCTCTATCTTTTTGTGCAGCTCTTGCAGTAGCTCTGCATTGAGCTAATTGTCGTTCCATTTCTGCAATTTGACCTTGCATAGACCTCCTTATAGTTTCACATCTTTCTTTCGTTCTTGCCACTTGTCTCGCAGAATCCTCTCGAACCTTTGATATTTATTAAAATTATCATACATTTCCAGATAAAGTAAACGCAATAACGTACTTGTTCGAGCATTGCTGTCAATTGTGTGACTTCGTGCATTTTTTCATCGATGCGTTTTTGTAATTGCGCATCGTGCTCTTCAAATCTTGCAAGCGTATTTTTCATACGTTCGTTCTCATGTCGTAGTTCGGTATTTTTTCTTTCTAATTCGTCGAATCGTCCCGAACCATGGCCTCTTTCATCCTGAAAACCATTACACACAAATTTAAACGTTTACGAAAAACCATTATTATTATTTTTTTTTTTTTTTTAAGAAACTAGAATTGATAGAAAATATTAACCTGCATTGCTTGGTGTTCTTGACGCAAAACGTCCAATTGGTTTTGCAGAGTTTGAATTTTATCTTTACAACCTATGACTTCCCGCGAAAGATCTTCGCAGTTGCGTTCTGCAACCAAACGCATTTGTTGCGCTTCCTGTAGTTTCACTTGTGTCTGTTTCAGAATGTCCGGCAAGGGCGCAAGTTCTGCTAGTTTTTCTTGGAACTGATTCTATTTGAAAGATAGTAAAATGTATCAAATTGATTGAGGATTATACGTAATTATCTACGTACTTTTACTCTGCCAATTTCTAAGGTAACATTTTCATTCATCCGTGCATTGTCCATCTCCATGAG